GCTCGATTCTTGCATGTGCACGTCGTTTGTTTTAATCTGAGAAAAAGTATCGACGACCTTATCATTATTATCCGCAGCATAGAGGTTACTTGAAGAAAACTGAGTAAGGTTTGAGCGAAATTCTGCGGCACACCGAGTACATGTACCGAGTAGGTCTTACGGTGCTAGCGGGTGGTCCTCATTATGTCGGGCTCCTCACTGCTTACCCGTCCTATCTATTTAACGTATCGTTTGCCTTGGTAACCATCCAAATTAGCCCGTCCTTTTCTATCCCGCGGCAGCGGCATCTTCCGATCTCACTCCTGTGTCTTCCTTAATTATTGGGAAGGCGATGTTTAATAACGACGACTCGGCCTGTGCCGTCACGGCCTGTGCTCTAATCGAAAACACTCGTTTCCTGCGAAACTTTACGCCACGTTTTGTAAAATGGCGAACGTTGGTTGCTTTATTTAGAAAAAACACTATCAATCACTAGGGAAATGTTATCTGTGAAAATAGGGATGGGGAAGGAAAGATTTCGAGAAAGATTAAGGCCGGTGTAATTCTGATAAATTCGATATTACGTAAAGTGAAACATTTCTCTCGCGATCTATTTGAAAAGCAAAGGCTAATAGGAATTTATACGACGTTATTCATATAAATTATGTATTGTACTTGATGTCAGTCGAACTACAAATTTGACGATCAACGAATTAATTCCAACGCACCGGGAGCACGAGTTTTTGATATTTGTAACTATAATCATAGAAGTGAAAGAATTATGATAATAACCTTACATGCATATTGCCGCAACTATTTCTCGAGTTGAGATCAGAAGAAGATGTAGTCGAAGCCAAAAACGACTATGGTTTAAGTGGGATTTTTCTCAGTGGAAAAAACAAATGGCTACATAGTGAGAAAAAAGTGTTTAGTAATTGTCACTATAATCGCACCCTGAGAAAAAAAGATCTCGATATTTGTAACTATAAGTGTTACTATAGTATACCAGCGATAATAATTTTACACGCATATTGCTGCTACTATTTTCGGGGTTGAAATCAAAAGAAGATAGTTGAGACTGAAAATGACCGTAATTTTAGTGAAACGTCTCTCGGTGTGATCAATTGAATTATTTACCGAAGCTCGATTGTATCGTGAAAAAATTGTTCGGATAACTTCGATTGTGAGTTTCGGAAAACGTGAAGCGTAACAGTGGCGGGCTGATATCAATTTTCGAGAAATCAGCGCAGGAGGACGGAGTTACGACCTCGCTCCAATCGGACACGCAAATTTATCTCGGGCGGCGAGCGGGATAGATATGCTCGCGGAAGCGAATTTAAAAGTCAATGGCCTGTAAACATTAATGCCTCGAGTAACGAAAGATAGCGAAGTGCTTTGTTACGGGAGTTTATGAGCCCCTTTATTGCCACTGTGATTTCTTCCCGATTGCTGAACGCGCAGCCAGCGTGATATCGCCCTGTTCGTAAGTCCGCCGATTTAGTTCACGGGAGAAGTTAACCGGCGTCGAATCGTCTTCTTCCACGTGTCTTCGCTTCGTTACGTGCAACACGAGCTCGAGATAATTATCGGCCGTCGAATAACAATTTCTCAGAATGGCGCTCGGCGTGGAAAAACCGCTCCCGACAATGCATATCTGTTCCAAGCTTCAGAGACGCACGGCTTCATTAGATGTGAAACGTCCTGTACACTAATCCATCGTCGTCGAAAAACAATCACGCGTCTGTTTTACCGTCGATCGTCTGCCACCGTTTTTTACTCGCAACCGGACACTACATAGCCGTGTGCCATTGATCTCTAAATATTGTTTAATTATCGTGCATTGTGTCAAAGTATGCAAATTTCGCGCACAGACCTCTTTTACTGCACTGAGAGAAATCCATTCAAAATTATAGCCACTTTCGGTCGGAATTATTTATTTTTCCAGCTTTAACTCTAGAAATAATCGTGAGGTAATGCACGTACCATTGTTATTATCATTGGCTTTGTAATACTACTTACAAGAAAAATGCTTCTCTTGACTATAACTCTCACTCGGACGATTATAAGTACAAGTACACATGTTTTTCTTACTCCGGCGACCAATGCGATTTACATCTAAACACGCACTATATAGTATGACGTTTTGGGAGCATTCAAATTGTAATCTCGCCATTTTGTGTGGGTATCCAGCAAACGCGTGCAGCAGTCCGCAAACGTCCAACGTCCGCAGCCTTCTCAGCATCCAGTCTCCGCGGCGTCCAGTCGTCGTCCCACGTCGGTTGCATTGCGCTCACTTTAGAGCACGTGCGACCGCGATAATTCTTTACGACGTTTCAAGATTGAATGAGAAGCACGCGATAAATTACAACGCTTCGAAAATATACCCGCGAGTCACGAGTTATATCGTGTAAAATCGCGAGCCGAAGGCCACCGAACGCTTCCGACAAGGTAAAGGAGAAATGGGAAATAAATCATGTTTCATGGATTTTGTCAGCGACAGAGGTTTCTGTTTCGCGAGGAGTCGAATTTTTGAAAGAAACAGTAAATACCGCATATCGAATATAGCTGTGATTTTGATTGGAATGATATTATAGCTTCAATGTATTATAAATATAATATTATATATCATATAAATGTGAGAAAGAGAGAAAGAGAGAGAGAGGGAGAGATTATAGCAATGATAGCCGTTAGCGGTAACCGTCCAAATAAACAACGACTTGCATCGAAATGGGGCATCATGGGAGACAGGCAATGATAGGAGGTAACACGTTTTTTTTTAAGATGGAGAACCAATAAAGCTCGTCTCTTCCAAAATCTTCATCGAACGAATACAGATGAACACAGCACGCGTTGTTGTTGATCGATCGTCTCACCGGGTACGCTTTCTCGTAGATCATTAGGAATAATGAAACGATATAAATTGGTCACCGCCAGGTATGGGATATGTTTTCACAGGGGCGGGCGCCCGACATCGATTCCGATAAAAGCGGCGAAAATAGACGCCGCGCGGATTTCCGCGCGATGAAATTTACGGCTTCAGCCAATTCCGCGAAAATGGAAGAACGTCCGCGAGGTTTTATTCGGCCGCGCGGTGCTTTATCGGCGCCCCCTATCGGGACTCATTTGTTTTTGCTTATCGCGAAGTTACATGACGGAGCAACCGTAAATATGACGGACGGGTGCGACGATGGGATCTCCGTCGCCGTCAGAACAAACGCGCTCACCACGGACGAGCCCGACGAAAATCTCCCCGGCGCGTCGCGACGCGACGGCTCGATTTAGGGGGCTGAACGTCGAGAGGGAAGTCTCGAGCCTGAGAGGGGTTGACATTCGACTGCGAATCGATATACCTACCTAGCTACCTGCATGCGCGCGGTGAACAAACCGTATCTCCGGACAGGACCGGGAAGAAATGGCCGAAATTTCGGGGCTTCGTATTTTCACGCTCCCCCCCTGGTACGTTTGTCGCGATCGCGATTTAATCTTCTCAAGCGTGATTTACGTTCGACGTGTTTTGTCCTACCTCAATACCGAATATAATTAAATCTATACGATAATTACGGTACTTGCGTTGTAATTGTCGTGTCGAAATTATTTGGAATGAGAGATACGGTTTAATAATATAATATACGTGATATAATAAAATTGCAATTAAATTAATAATAATACTGAAAGTAAGATTAATAAGCGATAATGTAGTGCAGCTTCGTATTAAATTTTTACGTCTAATTCTTTTCACAGGAGAACGAGAACGTTTGTCGAGGAAAGTTTGATGTTGCATTTGTGTCATTGGAATATAATAAGATTGTACACTGGGAACATTTTTCCATATTTGAACTATAATAATTATATATAAGTGAAAGAATTTCAATCGAATTTCAATCGGAACCATTTTTTCTAGTAAATGTTACCATAGTGTTATTGCACGGAAAAAAAATCAGTATCAATTCAAGATCCATATTTTCATGTATAATCCAAAATATATAATCTTATATGAAAGTAAAATTGATTTATGTGAAAAAATTCTATATTATTCCATTAAAAATATAATATTTTTGTTATTCTGGAATAATGATATTTTTTGCGGAACTATGAAGGTTTTTTTCATATACAAGTTTTATATATATCTTCACACATATAAGATTATATATGCTACTATATTGTTAATAACATATCATTATTTATCATTATTTACTAAATTTTATATATATATATATATATATTTAATATATAATATACTATTCTTGCTCATACATGAGAATATGAATCTCGAATTGATACTATTTTCACTTCTGCGTGGTAATAATAACTTTACATATACATCACTGCTACGAAATTTCAGGTAAAAACCAGAAGATAAGGTCGAGGCCGAGAGTGACTACAATTTTAGTAGGATAATTTTAGTAGGATTTCTCTCGACAAGCGTGGAAGTATAGAAAAGTCTCAAGTTCAAGTATTTCCACGAAAGTTCCACATCACCACGTCGACCAGTCCGAACGTCATCACCTCCTGACGGCTCACCCGCTCTATTTGATACTCGTCGACAATTGAAAACTATCTCATCCACTCTCTTTTTTTTACCAATCTTAATCACCCCCCGCCTAATTGCTCAATTGCGCTCATTACCGTCTCCGACGTAGTAAAGTGAGCGGCGATTAAATCTCTCCTCTCGCCCCCCGCGCGTCCCTGCCTCTGCTCGCGCTGCGTGACGGCGTGTCGCATTTGAGAGAGAAACTTATCCCTCGTGGTGTACAAAAATCGCGGTGTATAGATAATTCCGCCTGTTCTCCTGCGACCCGGCCACGGGGCGGAGCGTCGCGAGGAAATGCCCCTGGTGGTAGCTCTCAGCCTCGCCCCGATCTTCTCCTTCTCGCTCCGTCGTCCGGGATTCCCCACTCTCTCGGATGAGGATTCTCTCCCTCTAACGGGGCGTCGGCCCCACCATGGTGCACCCGGTGCCCGACGGCAAAAGGAAAAATCAGGGCGGTGCTGGCTGGACGGTCAAGCTCAGTCCACACGGAGAGCTCGGCTCGGCTAGAGGCTACCGGGGAGAGTCCTGGTCATCAGCGATCATTGATCCAACGTCGACCTGTCAAACACCGGACTGTGTTCTCGGCGTAACGTCGATGTGCCTCCGCGTGTCGTCGTCCCCCCGAAGCTGGAGAGAGAGCTGACTCGAGGGCTCTCCGATCGGGAGAGATCGTGCGCGAATCAGTGAGGGATCGTTCGTGAAGCTACAGTGAATGCCTCTGAAGAGCCGAAAGTCCAGTCGAATTCGACGAACCGCGGGGATGAGCGAGCTGAGCTCGTCTTGAGTCGAGAGAGACGCTCTTGCGAGATCACGAGGACAGTGCTAGTCGACGTATCCGAGAATGACAGTACTAAGGATGACCTCGCCGGTGACGCCTGCATCGACCAGTCCCGACTCGTCGGAGGAGGCCCAGCCGGCAACCGCCAGGCCGGCTCATCGATTGAGCTTCTCCGTCGCAGCCCTCCTGGCGGACACCAGGAAGACGTCGAAACCACCGACGAGGCAGGACGGCCTGCTGATGTCACCCAGGTCGTCACCGGTCGTCCCGTACTCGCCGCTTCGGCATGAACCGCGCGTCAACTCGTCGGCGAAGCATCCCTGCGAATTCAAGGCATCCCGATACGTCCTGTCGTCCTCGTCGTCCTCGTCGTCGCCCAATCCGGAGATCAGGCTGACTCACTGCCCGTCTCCTCGCAGCGCCTCACAAGACTCCAGAACGTCGAAGTATCCCGAGACGATCGACTTCAGCGTCGAGGCGACGACCGGCAGATGTGCCACCACCCAGGGAAGTGTGGACTATCGCGTGCAACTGAGCGCCGACACCGGAACCAGCCCGGAGTCCGTAGTGGGCTGTTCCTCGTCGCCGAAGATCAGTCAGCAGGACACCGGCTCGCAGTCGCCCCGGAGCAGTTCTCACGGCGAGGCCCGTTCGAGATGCTCGGAAACGGACGACGTCGAGGACGACGAGAGCAGCCTGGTGGACGTGGAGGATCTCCAGAATCACGCGGCCAGCGGCTCGACTCCGGTCAGACCAACGCCGGCCTACCTCGGCGGCTTCTCCACCCTCGGCGGCATCCCCGGTATCCCGGCCAGCCTTCACCCCGCGGTCTGGGGCGGCGGACACCAGAACGCAGCTGCGGCAGCCGCGGCCGCGGCCGCCGCGGCGACGGCCACGTTCTTCCCTTCGCACTTCTCTCATCACGCTCCTCTAAACGGTGAGTTCAGCCTGTCTCTCGATCAACGATCCTCGCGCGCAAATCACACAGATCGGGAGACAAATATTTCTTATTTATAACTACGACGAGCAGAGCTCGTCTATACGCCATGGTGGAACAATTGTAGACGGGAGTACTGTTTTCCCGATGAGTGTCGCTGTAACGTCAGTGACAATAGCGCGGTGCTGCTGCTATTTTTGCGGTTGGAACGGAAAATAGGATACGAGGATATAATTGTATTTAGAGATCGGCCGTTTTGACGAGCAACGTTGGAGATTTGGTCGAGCGAAAGGACCGTAACTTTTCGCGAAACAAAGAGAATATTTAATGATATTCAGGTGACGACGTGGCGATATACGAATATGTGCGCTGAAAGAGATCCGTTAAAATTGTAGCCACTTCCGACCTCAATGATATTTTCTTCTAGCTTTAGCCCGAAAGAAGAAACTAGCAATATGCGTATAATGTTATTAACACTGATTTTATAGCAACATTTCCTGGAGAAGTGATTCTTGCGACTATAATTCTTTCACTTATGTGATTGTGTTTTACACGGAACAAAGTGTTGGAATCAAGCAAACGTAATTACCTGTTTTTCAGCTTCTTAAATCAATGAATATTTTTATCAATTTAAATATGTTTCGATGGCTTGCAATAAATATTTACTTTAACACAGTAATACCTTAATTTGTATATGAATTGCTAAATGTAGGTAAATTAATCTAATTTGAGAGAGCGTTTACTAAAATTATGTAATATCTTTCTCCGTTGCGGAAACTTAATGTTTTAAATTTCAATTTTTCTATCGAATAAATAAAAAAATGCTTCCTAAGATTCTGATATTCTGAATATTATGAATTTAATATTTGTTGTAATTGTTACACGCACATTGGAACAACACATAGAAACAAATGTCCAATTGTACGAAGAAATGATCGCATTGTATTCAGTCAACTGCATTTCTATTCGTAGTAAATATTTACCAAGGAATATTGGAGCAACCATTTTACTTGGATTAAGTATACCCACTTGGATAAATATCACTTGAATGTAGCATTATTCCCTTTCAATGTACAAATTCCAACAATGTTTTCCTTTCTACATATAAGACAGCGCACTTTCCGTTTTTGACACAATCCACTCCCGATTCTGACAGACGATGAGTTTATCGATTATCGACATTTCCGGGCACCGACGAAGAGCGATTCTCACGATCGATGAATATTCCTTTTTTTCCCCCCGATCACATGCAAATTCGCCGCTTATAAAGAAGAGAAAGCGCAATTAAGTTAATCGCGAATCCCGAATCCCAGATAGAGTCTCCTGCATCGAGGCTGACTCAAGGCTTCGTGTTGTAAAACACCGAGCATCACGAACGTATAACGCAATTGAGTTTGTTACAAATCAAGTTTAGTTTAGAAGTTCTAGAACTTCCTTACCCCTCTTCTCATCTTCGCCTGTATAACTCGAAACGCGAACCGAATGGCTGCGTAACGACTCGCTTTGATCGAAGACGAGCGAACGCTTCGAGAACTCGATCCGGCTAACAGACATGTGCAAATTATCGCGCAAATTATAGGAATTTCAATATAATACGAACAAATAAGTCGTGTTTCTACGCTTTAGTGCCGGTTAGCGATACGAAAGCGATATGTAGGCTGCCTATCGTCACCTCGAGGAGCGAGTCTCTCTAGCGTCCTGCGCGATGCTCCTTTTAGGTAGTCGTTATTCGTTCCGGTCTGAATTTCCACGGGTCCGGCTATTTATTCGTCGCGACAACTATATATGTTTGAGGATAGTCTTTGAACTTTTGGCGGGGCGCCAATCGCCGTCGTGTTTCCTCACGGATTCTTTTCATGGTTCATCGCGGCTAAAGCGATTACGCGGTTACAAGCGCGGTTTACGGACGGTGACTTCTCGCTATATGGAATCGAGACAACTTGACTTCTTATCGGTGTTACACACCGATACGTGAGGATACTCTTGAGAACACGGGCGGAAGAATATCTCGGGGGTAAATAATCGCGTGAGAGTGGTTTACTACCCTTCTGTTTACGATTTCACGGCTTCGGCTTGCGGCGGGGCGATTTACGCGCGCTTTCAACCGCGCCGCTCAATAACCGTCCGCGAATTTCCAGATCGTGAACGTAATCGAAATGTAAATAGAAGCTGCGCGGAGTAATCAAACTTGACACGGTCGGATGAAATCATCTCTACGGGTAAACAAGTCTCGAGATATCGCTTCTGGTATTTATTAGCTAGGCGAATGGGTGGGAATCGCGAGAGAACGGAGGCCTTCGCCGAAGGATTAACGCGC